CTGATTCTGCACTTGGGTCCAGACTCCTTTCTACTCCACCGCAACAGTGGTTTACATATGTGGACTGCTGTTTTTGGACATGGAGCTGTGAAATTGTATTATATCAGAAGCTACTATAAAACCAGTTGAGAATTAAAAAACATTGATTTTTTAAAACTTTATTTTTATTAAATAATGTTAAAAAAGACTATTGCCATTCTTGTCCTTGAAGTAATCATCAGTGAATGAAACAGAGCCGAATTTTTTGCAAACCAGAGGAAACTTATTTGTGGAAAAGCTGTCAGGGCAAGCAGGGATGTCACACAATCTCTAGTCTGCATACTGAAAGTTAAACGTGACTCCTCTCACACACACATTGAAGCACACACACACACACCCCACACACAAAGCTCATAATCCTAAATCAGCTGTTATCTATGACCTCAAACATGCAACTATTGTAACACTTACACACAGTTGCACAATTACATGCACACTCCCATACACATGAATACACACGCACGCTCACACACACACAAAGCCCTTGCTCTTCCCTCCCTGGCTGCCAGCTGTGAACAGCATACGTGCCGCTCCTCACATAGCCTCCTCACAGGCCACAGCCCTTTTCCTCACACCACTTATTAGCACAAGATGACTTTCTGCTGCATCATTATGCTGACGGGTAGCCTATAAATCATACAATTATTGTCGGATTTATATCATCATCGGTTCAGTGAATTTCAATTTGTCACTGCCAGTCGGTGACCTATAACACACATCTTTCAGCTATCTCAAACTCATTGTCCACCTTACAAATCCTGGTTTCCATGTTTAATCCTGCCAAACATTTGTGAAAGAACCAACAACTCAACAACAGCCTGAACTTGAACTATGGCTCTTGATGACGAGAAACAACACGGACTACTATGTCTGACGCATCCTGTGAAAGCCCCCTACGTCAACATTATTGAGCAGATTAAACATTATTGAGCAGATTCCACGAGGAATGTAAGAGACAGGTTTAGTGTCTCTGTCTCGTCACAAACACACTTCAATTCAATGCTGACTGTTCAAACCAGTGTGACTTTGATGTTGTTCTTGAATACCATCATGCTTGCAATCATAAAATTAGTTGGAAAGACAATATTGATTACTAATTTGCGTCATTAGTCAGATTTCTTTCTGTACTACAAGCAAGTGTTTGCCAGCAAACAGATAATTTAGCAGAATTTTGCAAGAAATTTTATGCATTAGTTATGTGTGCATTTATGCTTAGAAAATTATTGGACTGATCATTGTTTGATTGAGCCATATGAACCAGTGCGGACTCTGAGAACCTCAGGTTCTGGTCTCTTGGTGGTGCCCAGAGTCAGAACTAAACAGTATGAAGCTTCATTTAAGTTCCATGCTTCTAAAATCTGAAACAGTCTTCCTGAAGACGTGAGACAAGCCTCAACTCTGACAATGTTTAAATCCAGGCTGATTACATAGATTGTATCTAATCTATGTCGTTGATTCATTTTCTTTAAATGTTTTTCTACTTTTAAATTCTTTATAAAGAACTTTGAATTGTCTTGTACACGAAATGTGCTATACAAATAAATTTGCCTTGCCTTGCATATAACTGCTATTCCTCACTATTATATTGGAGGTCAAAATATTGGTAGACTTTCATATTGAAGTTGCAAACAAACAAACAACAACAACAAAAACAGCAAAAAAATAGACCCTCCTCTGATGGACAAACAGTCCCACTTTTTAATGCTTTGCCCTCATTGACATCTTAACAAGCCAACTACTTTGTACTTGTGAGTTAGAAGACCTTTTACTTCCTGCCCTAAAACTTGAAGCCTAGGACCCATACAAGGTGTCATTAGGTTTTTGTGTTTCCTATTTACAGTATCTTTAATTACCTCAAAATCTGAACTAATAGAACTCAAAAAGATACTGTCCTGAAAATAAATCCTGTTCTAAGTGAGATTTCTTTTCAGGACGTTTTTACTTTGAGAAAGAAAATCTTTTTGGATTGTCTGGAAGATCCTGGTGTGTATCAGAATCTCACTTGTTTCCCATCAGACAGTATGAGAGCCAGGTGTATTGTTTTAGGATTTATGAGTCTAAGAGTTAAGAGTGCTTACAGCAGAACCCTTTTCAGCTTTAACACTTAACAGTGTCATCTGCACCAGCTTTGTTACAGTTCTCTCGCAGTTTCCTTATGGGACAAGCAATTTCTAAACTCATTTGTGGGTGCAGCAGGGATCGGGAATTAGACATTTTGAAGGAAGTACCTGTTCAATGCATTGCCACCGTTTACCTCAGAACATTTTTTCATTAACTCAGATATTTCTGCCTCCAATTATCTCATAATTCATTGTAATTAGCTGTCTCAGACTTTCCTAAAGCAGACCCAATCAGGGCATTGCAGGCTTCAAACTGCAGATGATGTCAGTTGATCCATGCCATTTTTGTTGACCTTCAGTGGTAACTAGACAAGTCTAGACAGATGAAGTCGTGAAGCTAATCTTTGTAGAGGATACTCCATGCTTCCAAATCTGATAACACACTTTAAATTTGAGATATAAATATTTTATTCCCATTGTCATTTTTCTTAAATTGACTCTAGCTTAAGTATACAAACTGGGACATTTTCTCACTTAGTCAAATGGTGACATTTTTGAGTGATTGTTTTAAAAGATTGAAATCAAATTCTAACAAAAAGCTACTCTTTTATAGTTTCTGTGATATTAAACTTTTGCGATTTTGGTTAGTTTGCAGTCTATCATGCCCTCTAGTGGACATTCTGGAGTCATTCAGCACAATTAAAGCAAGACCAATGATTGAAAAGTATTCATTTTATTTCAAATAATTTTCAAAATGCATTTTGACTAATAGCCTCAAACTCATTGGAAGCCTGCTCAGTGAAGACTTATGTCTGATCCAGTGGGACAAATTCAAACATTAAATTAAATTAAATTCAACTGTAGGGGCAGTTTGGAGTTACAATTAGCCTAACATCCATGTTTTTGGACAGTGGGAGGACATAAAACAAACAGAAATAAAATCTCAGTTATTTCAATTTTTCTTTCAAAAAAGGAATACAATACATGATAGGAAAAACAAGAACAGCAAAATAACAAAACAAAAAAGGAATGAGACCTTTGTGGCCATCTGTTGGGCCAGTAGTTAGAGTGATTAATATAAACTCAACTAATATTGACAAGCTGGAGATTGTAGTGAATAAGAATACGGCACAAGTTGATTAACTTAGCATTGGCACAGTGGGCTTGTTCATGAAAATAATTAAATGATTTGCCTTGTGATTTGTCTGCACACAAAACTGACTTTTGCTGAACAGCTCTAGAAGTTTCCTGGGTTCCTAACGGGATCAATATACCTGTGCTTTTTCAGACCTAGGATTTTTTAATGACTGCTTTAAGATCTGACACAATAGGCAGGACTTCAGAGCCCTATGCTTGGTTTTGTTACTGATGTCAAACTGAATTTCTTTTTGTTCTTTCTTTTTCTGTTTTGCTCCGAGGTGTCATTTCCACTCTGAAGTGACTGAATTGAGCAGAAGTTTCATAAATACAAGTGTTGATTAGAAGATCAGGCACCATTGAAGCTCTTTACGCAAGGATAATTTTTTCTTGGCATCATTATGCCCGTTTTGTGTGATGCATGTCTTGCAGAAGTTGGGTCCACCTAGTATGGAGACTGGATTAGCGCAGACATCCAAACAGATGGAGCACTGAAGCTGATCTTTAGAGGAGAGTGCTGGCAGTTGTCATGTCTGAGAGTTAAAAAATAAATAAACGTAAAGGCTTTTAATAAAAATATATAGCGTATCACTCTGTTTTACATAAAAAAAAACAATGTTAATGAATATTGCAGAATTGTGAAATATGATTGTGTCTAACACAATGCACATCTGAAATAGACAAAACGAGTTACAAGAGATATAGGACTTGAAATAGCCAATAAAAAATCAGACAAACTGAGCCAGGTGAGGGAGTTGAGCTAATGATGAGAACCAGAGGAGACTGAGGAACATGAAGAAGGCAGACACACAAAAGGCGGACACAGGCAATAGATCAAAGCAAAACACAGAAAGCTAACTAGAAATAGAAAGATATGTCAGAGTCTTAGGCCAGAATGACAAGTTTGATAAAGAGTTTTGTACAAAAAAAAGCACTTATCATGAGCTGGGAAATGGGAATTTATTGTCATTGCATTGTCATTGTAGTATCTCATGTGTTTTAGTTAAAACCTATGTTAGAATTCACAATAAATCAGCCATCTTTAACTTTTACTTATCAATTATTTGACCAATGAGTCAAAAGTAAAACACTACTGTACTGTTTTTGATAGTTTGCAATTAGCCAACATTTCTGTCGTATGGGAGTATATTTACACATCCTTTTGTGTTAGTGGTCCATTTACTTCTTCCCTTGTGTGTAAACACATGCCCTGCATCCACATGATTCATGTTGTGTCCAATTGCACTTCCTAATGACTGAGAATTTAAGCTTCACTTGATCGTTCCAAGGTGCATGATCAACCAATTTCTTTTTCTATTTTATCCATTTAAATAAATACTTGCTTTCATTATGTGTGGTTCTCCTGCAGGCTGGTTTCACTGTGAATTAATTGGGTTGTTTTTGTCCCAACACACAAGAATCAAATAAAATCCAAAACCAGTTTTAGCTAAACATGGCTTTGACATAGTTTTTTTTTAAATGAATTCACAGTAAAGACATAGCCACAACTTGTTTGCCATTTTGTTTTATTAACTTCCCTTAGCACATTAAAATCTCTACAATATCTACATGAAGACTTCACATTCCTATCTGACTTCAGACAAAATCAATAGAATAATTTACAAAAAAACAAACAAACATCCAAGTACATGGAGGTCACATTTGGGAGGAGGTGACTGCCTACTGAGAAACATGAGAAATATGTTGGAATGAAAAATGAGCATTACCTCTACTTTCAAAGAAGGATTTGACTTCACATGTTTTATATCTATAATAAAAGGGTCTTAAAAGAGTGTATTCTGCAGGTCTTAGATATCACTATCGGGTCGTTTCAAAGAGAATTTTCCGGAGGGATCCGGTATAAACCATTTTTCCCATAGATCCATGTGGACAGCAGGGTAATTCCATGGTTTGAATGGTCCGTTCCAGTGCAGCAGATGGGCATCTTGTAAAAAGGTCTCTGAATAGTGGGCATCTGGACTCCAACCTACAAAGAGGAAACAGTTCTGCAAATTGTCCTTAAGAAAAAAAAACAGTCTGTCCCGCTTGAAGGTAAAATAAATTTTAAAAAGCATATTACTGACTATTTTAGTTGTGGAGAAACTTTTTGTACATAGAGTATCCATTAATTGTCCCATCATGTGTATGTGTAACAAGATAATACATTAGGTCTTTAGTTCTGTATCCAAAACATGTAATTGTAAAGGCAGTTTTCTTTATTCTCACACTTATTCTCACACAATGCAAACCACTGAATTTTACAAGGGTCTTACCTAGGTGTCTGACATGCCACATAGGGTTCAGTGTTGTGTATTTGTCATGAAAAACTATGAGCATAGGTGGAGTCACCACACCGCCTGCCATGGCACTGCTGTATATATTATCCCTGGTGAGAGAGGGGGAGGGTTTGTCAGGTTTGTTCCTCCTACAAACAGTTATAGTTTTCAATCCTACAGTGAAGCACATACATCTATGTAGTGTTTATGAATAAAAACATGTGCTCTCGAGCAAACTTTCCTGGAATTAAGCAGTTTGTGTCTTCCACTAACAATTAAGCAAACTTTTAGGGTGGCTTAAGTGCATGCTAGTCGTCAGAAAAAGGGGTCTTGGTTTTGCCAAGTTCCAAATTGAATCTTGGGATGTGGAATGTTAGCCTCTCTGCCTGATAGCAACATTGATCATTTTATAACAAAAATTAATTTATCCTACTTTCATAGGTGAACATCCCATGGGAGACACAGGAGATGTGACCCCAAAATAATTGTAAACAAAATACAACTTTTGAATGATAAAACTGTGTGTCAGCAAATAACACTTTCACCTGATGATGAAACCCCACCAATGTGTAAAGGCCATTAAGTAATTTATCAAACTGCTTCTTCAAAAAGCACCAGGTTAGAACATTCAGTGACATTTGTCCTGCTTTGTTTTATCATGAAGCAACATTAATGGACAATGTGAAAATTAAAGCAAGGTAAAAATATCCTCTCTTAGATGTTATCGTAAAGGTGTACTATTTCCACCTAAAACCATTGTTGACATTGCTGACTGAGCATAGAAAAACCTGTATATAGGTAGAATATTGACTAATACTGAACAAAGCTATTTCTCACTCTTAATAACGTTATTTATTCCATCACATTTTTATTTATTGTTCCTTCCAATAATAAAATTAGATTTTCACTAGTGCCAATTTTAAACTGGAGTATAACTTTAATGGTTATAATATAGTGTGGTTTATTATTTTCAGTTATTGTTTGTTTTGCATTATGTTTTCGTTATTTATTAGTATTGCTTTCACTTTCAGTTAAGTCTTAATTTGAGATGGAAATGCGAAAACGAGTGTCATTCAATACAAAAGCTTCTGTATGTGTTTGACTGCACCTGCAATTCTCTTCCATCCATTTCTCCAGCTGTTTAGTGATCTTCTGTTCTTTCCACCTTTTCATATCTGCCACGAACACTCCGGGGTTGAAAGAGCAATCGTTAGGATGGATGCCTAAGTCTTTCACTTGCTGTTTTCTATAGTCTAGAAAGCCCATGTAGGTTGTCTAAGGAAAATATTAAGCAACAACATATTTCAGAAATTTAAAACCTATCAACTCGGACCCAATAGACTGGTGAAGGGCACTTCAATAGAAGATGCAGAAATCAACCTGCATGCCGATGCTTCGAACCATCTCATGTGTGGAGGGGAGATCACAGTCAGTGGCAAAAGCAGCAGCATGTTCTGCTTTCAGCTGAATATTGAACAGGCCTTTGATGTCACCTATAAAGAGAAGAGAGTGTTACTGTGCATGAAAATAAACTACAGTATCTTTCATCACTATTATCCCTCAAAGATGATGATAAAACTATACTATACTTGAATGCAATTGTTTTTAATAAGGGTACAATACAAAAATGAAAGTACTAGAAATAGTTATTTGAATAGTTGTTATTAGAAAAAGACTAAAATGCTACAAAAACGTATTGTGTGTACAGTACTTTAATTTACAACACTATTTACAGTAAATTGATCATTCTAATGGCACCCTATGGTAACAACAATCTATATACTGTAACTGAAACTTTAATATTGGTATAATTTACATCATCGTATTAATTTATATTTTGATATCTATTTTTACATTGGGATCAGCATATTTTCATATATACATCCAGTGACACAGATATGAGCAACCAAAAACACTTGCATCCACTTCTATGGGCAATTTAGTGTTTTCAATTGGCCTAAAAGGCATGATTTGGAACTGCTTTTGATTGGATTTAAACTAGGAAAACAAAATAAACCATATAGACACGTCATACACACGTACCTTGCAAAATAACATCGTCGTCTAAGTAGATAACTCTCTCATGCTTTAGGTTGAGCAAAGGAAGGTAAACTCGCACAAAGTTGAGCTGCAAAAAATATCCAGCATTATTTGGAAAATCACACTGCAGCACAAAAACTCATTATGTATTCATAGTACTTCTTATACCTGCACATATCACTCACAGGATGTAAGAGATCAGGTCGAGATGAGTCTGGCTTCACCTTTCCTTGTAGAACCATAGGGTTAAATTCCAATATTTTGTAGTGAATAGCTTTCAGTTTTGTTTTCTCAACATACTCCCTGCACAAAGGCAAATAAATAATTTCCGTTAGGCAAAATCTTTATGACACGCCAACATTTTCCACAGACCTCCAATATAGCTGGTACTGTTAAAGCTATGCATATAGTATATGAACACAAACAAATGAAATAATTTCTTAAATCATTTTTACTGTTATTCAGACTGATGAGGTCTGCAGTTAAAAACAGTTTAAAAAAAACCTTGTGAGTTTGACAGCATCACGAAGAGTAACAATATAGAAGAAAACACTGGCGTCTGTGTTGCTGATAATGCTGTTGATTGCTGCCATGGTTCCACCCATGCGTTCCTCTGAAGCACAAATAATTACAGGGATGGCATTGTCCTCCTCCGACCATCTCGGGTGAGGATGTCGAACTGCACTACCATGGCTCTTCCTGTTGTCTAAGAGAAGTCCAGAGCATAAAGTTGTCAGTTTAGATAGTTATCAGACTACTTATTTTGAGACCATGTGTTTTGAAAAGAAGATTGCTGCACTTGTGTAGGAGGTGTTTAAAGGAAAAACAAAAATTAGATAGAAACAAATGTATTATAACTGCACAAAAATACCTGGTCTGTGACGGGTGGAGGGTTTCAGCAGTGTATTATGAAGAAGCAAACACACCATCAGCACCAGCAGCGCTAGGAGGACCTGATTAACTGGAAGTCATGCAAATGCATTAGATTGATTGTGAATGAGTATGTACAAAAAGTAAACTATGAAAAAGATTTTGAAATAACAGTCACTACCCCCACTTTTTTTTTGTTTGTTTAAAACATCTCTATTAAAATAATCTAAAAACAATACAGCATTTTCACCTGCTGCTGCACAGGTTTTATTGTGAGTTTGGTTTGTGTGGCTGTTTCTCCGAAAAAGTAAACAAAATCTCATCCAAGCAGGGTCAACTTGGATGTGAAATCCAGTGTATCCTAAGAATGTTCTTGTCATTTCAGTAATGCCCTTGCTAATTTATTGTAAAAAACTTTTACACAAAAATTCTCCAGTGAACAGCAGAGATCAACTAATCATTTTAACACAAAATCTCAACTGAAACCATTCAATTTTCCCACACAATGCAGCAGTGTTAGCTCCACTGAGTAAACCCAGTTTCCATTCTCTGGAAGACAGGCCAGAGATAGTGAGGGGTTAGATAACCATCTGTATTTTCATCTTTGATCTTTGAACTATTTCTGGCCTTGATCTAAGGAAAAATTGTGCTGGAACATCTCCACTATCATAACTCATGGGTTATCATAGCTCTTGAGTTATGATATTGGGGATATTCCAGCACAACTTTTCTACCGTGCTACTTGAAGTGCAGACTTTATACTTGAGCATTCAGGACTTCAGGACCCAGCCCTGTGAATAATTATATATTTTCATTCTTTTTTTAAAGTTAAAAAAAATATATATAAATTGGTAGTCGGGAGGTGAAAGCAATCATTTCACACTTTGAAACGCTTTTATAAAGCTTAAGACAAATTTATATTTTTGGGGAAAAATTTACATTCCAGAAAAAATAAATCATATTTCACAAATCAAGTTAACAAGACAAGAACAACTGGAAAGTGAATGTACCTATCGTTATTATCACGACACCTATCACTATTATCAGTGCTTATGGTGATCCATGAAAGCAATCATGTTGCGTTTTATGGCACACATATAGTAGATATAGATAGAGTAGCGGTTTTCTTTTTGATGAGGTCGATCTTTAGAATTAGAAGTTCCCTTAATTTCATGTTCATATTGGGTTGACATGAGGAGAACTATATTGATCGTGCAGGAAATTATTTAAGGATTTTAAGTACAAATTAAATCAGTTTCTAAAAGAAATAAATTGGGGGACATGTCTGCAAAGATATAAAATAACATTGATACAAAGTTCATTTTTGAAAAAGTGTTAATCATATTATATAATATTTTGAGGACGGAGTTAAAAAAGATCTAATAAAGAAATCTACCTTTAATTTACACCTAACAAGAACTGCACAAAAGGAAAATATATAGTTGGCATCCTTATTATAATCTGCTCTTAGATTGTTAATTTCAGACTTATATTTTCCCTGAGTTTTCTGTTTTCTCTCTATTTCTTTCTGTTTCTGTGAGCACAGCCACCAATACAGTCGTAAATATGTCAGTTAGGAATGCTGTATTAGGTACACGTCTACTACAATGCTTATTCACTTTCCTTAGCACATTCAGTGAACACGTGAACAGGACGCTGGCGTGGTCACGTACTGACGTGACCACGCCAGCGTCCTGTTCACAGTGAAGTAGTTTCTGCCCAATGAGACTGCTGGGAAGTAGCGCTCTTTATATTTGGGGTTATTGGGAATTTCACATAGACCTCAGTTTAGAAACAGTATTCTTGTCAAATTTCTGTCATATATTATTTTCATTTTTCTGTCCAGCAAATAAACTTTTGGCAAAACATTTTCTAATAAAAGGGATGTTAAATTTTTTTATTCAAGTGAAGAATTGCTTGGCTTGACAGCAGGGCCAATTGAGGTTGAATAACTTGGTGCGTCATTATTTTTCTGGTTAGAAACACAAATTCTCGGGTAGGTGCATTACATAGTTTGCACCTCTTAATTCTGTAATGCTAAAGTGCTTTGAGAGCTCTTTCATGAGATTGTCTGAAGCGGGGGCTTTGTCATGACACAGTGGGCCACTTATGGGACTTGTTTGTTTGTTTTGTGAAACATTAATTATTTTTGTGAAATGCAAATTTGTTTCAGGACTTGTGGATCAGTTTGAAGTTTTGTTCATTTGTTTTCTGAAATTTTAAATTTTCTTTTTCAGAATTTGCAATGTTGGTTTGCACCTTTCGGTCACCATTATCTAAGCAAACACATTAAGTTTTGGCAGTGGATGCAAACCTGTCAGACTACCCAAACCCATTGGATGGAATCATGAAATGTAACTCTTCACAGCCTTTTGACATCTGCTTACCCCATCACACCCTCCCCCATCACCCAAACTTTTGATGCATGCACTGTTCCTGTTCCCATCCTCTGGAGAGAAATTTAGGATTTAACTTTATTGAAAACAGCTGCATGATCTTACCAGCTGATGTGAAAGAGAAGCCACATGGACACAGATTACTACCTAGCTATAAGGACACACTTTTCCAGCAAATGTACATATTGCAATCAAAATATGTTTATCATTATCATATGATATTTGATTTCAGATTAATTTTCACTTACTTTTTTTCAGAAGAGGCATTTTTCATATTGGTTTCTAGTGACATCTGTAGAACCATAAAGACAAAGTAAGAATCAAATCCAAAGGATGACATAAGCCTTAACTGTTGTTTCCTTAGCAAGGTGTTAATCTGCGTGAGTAACGCTGAAAGAGACTTGTGTTTCACAGTCATATGAAAGTTGACAGCTGTTACATTTATTTTAGCCTAAATAGAGGAGACTGGTTGCACCAAACAGGATTCTTACAGGTTCCATCACTAAAAGGTATGTTATTAGATAATAAAACTTGACATACATTTGGGTTAAGTTTTGAATGCTTTTCTGTGAAAACAGAAACACTTTCTAGTCATGAGGTTTGTCTGACAGACAGAGCAGACATAACCCATCCATACAAGAACCTAACAGCCCATTTCAAAGGACGTGGTAACCCATACTCCCAGAGTAACCCCCACAGGATTCCCCGAGGGACACAGTCGGACGCCTTCAGGAAGTCCACAGTGCACGTGGGCAGGCAAACTCCCATATATATATATATATATATATATATATATAGTTTATACATATGTATGCCCTGATAAATCCGCAGTAAGAAGCGTCTCATGTTAAAGCAAAACTATAAAAATCCATACATCTGTCTGCTGAGATTCAGAGGGCTGTTAACAAAAACTGATCATCAGTAGTCAGCTGAATAAAACTGCAACTGCAGCATGCCATGCATTTGTTTCAGGTTAGTTGCAGTCAGAAGAGTGTCTAAACATCTGGAAATGATTTTAGGTCGTTCCACTACAGAACAGGGCCGTTAAACAGTGTGTGAATTAGCAATTCACTTCAGATCTTCAGAGAGAAACTGTGTCAATCTTACACGATAAAGATGTCTATCAGTCTAAAATTATTTGTGATTGACATAGAAGAAGAAGCCATCTGGATTCTGTAGTTTGAGTTAAATTCAAACGATCTCTACTAAACATCTCTCTGATTTAGATTACTTTAGTTGTGATTATTAGGCAAAAGCTGGAACCTAGAAAATATATATGTCAACCTTAAAAGTTTAGGTGAATAGATAAGCCAGTTTATTGACCCCAAACCCAATTCTTTAATACATTTTCCTTAGTGTGTGTGTCTGGGAGTGGTGGATGTGGGTTGAGGATTTAAGCCAAGTCAAGATCCTATGTCATCACCAACAAAATAATAAATACAGTCATAACAGTTGTAGAAAAAGAACTGAGGAAACTTCTTCTGGAGAAAAAAAAAGTTGTGTAACATTTTTTGTTTGCCAAGGGCATTTCAAATGAGCAAATATCTAAAATGAAGCAAAAACAAAACTGAGGGAAATGACTTTCTAACTACTGAACTGGACATGAATAAATTAGCATCAGATAGCAATATTTCATCACATACATGTCATTGAAATATATTCTTTTTGCTGCATCATGCCCGGAAAATGCAGTTTAGAATACAGTCGAGAAATAAGCCGGAGGTAATCCTCTGCCGCTTTTTTTACTCACCAGTTCAATACGGTCTTGACAATGGTCAATCCCATGCCTACATTTCTAGTGCCATATTGTAAAACCACGGAGCACTGAGACAAAACCTCATAACCAACCCCAACTTTTTTTTTTAACCTCTCCTACTTTCCCCCCCTCCTGCTTCCCTCCAGATGTGACTCTTCTTCTGTCATTTAGCTTTCGCTGGTTTAACTCCTCTCTTCTAAGAAGTAAAGAATAGACGTTTCGACATCTCTTTCTGCTTGGACAGAATTTGCTGCAGTTACTTAAGCCATAATGTAAAAAAAAAAAAAAATGGTATTGAAAATGGCATTATTTTTGCTAACTTTTTATAAAGCTGTTACTAGAGACATAAACTACAGTGGAACAGCATTATGTGAGATAAGTTAGCATACAGTGGGGAAAAATATGTACAATTTGTTTTAAACCAGCGTGTGGAAACCCATTTCCGTCATCATAGAAAAATAAAAGCCCAATTAGGGCTTTTATTTTGGTATCTTATTCTGGTATCTTCCATACACGTCAGCTAGCTGAATCGTATGATAGAAAAAACTTCATTTCCCTTGATTCAAAGGTGCATAGAGCTGTTGTAAAAGGACAGGTCAAAGTTGATCCCGTAGTTAGGTTTTCTATCACCACTTGAAATCCAGTTACCAATTTCTTTTAATCTATTTTTTAAAAATCAACGCGTTTTATTTGTCTTTTGTTTAGAATTGTGCCCTTTGTAGCTTTCTCTCAGTCCTGTTTAGCTGATGTAGCGCAAACTCTATCTTTAATAACACGTAATGCTATTTATTACAATAAACAGGATGATGAGGAACAGATTTTTCATTATTTGGGTATGTAGTAAAATAACTAACTCATATAAATTAATATCACCAAAGAAGGCTGTTGTCTTTTTCGCAAAACTGCAGCGACAAAGGTTGCAGGGTAACCTTATGAGCGGCCAACATTTTCAACTATACAACTATACTGTACACGTTTAAGTAGCAGTAGCAGGCATTTTACCGTCTATCTGAAGAGTCTGTCGATAACATTTTGACAAACTACCACATTATTGGTTAGCAGTGTCTTAGGTCACTGCTAGCATGGATGAAAACACTTTGAAGATGTTGGTGAAGCTAACTCAGGAAGGACGCTTAAGCTCTCTGGAGAAACAGATATCAAAAGGAGGCTCAGCTGCGACAAACACAGTTAGCACCAAACACTTTGGTAGGTCAGGAGACACTTTGCTGCACTATGCAGCTAGACATGGGCACCTGAAGATTGTCGAGTATCTTATAAAGCAGTTAGGTATGGACGTGGACATTTACAATAGCGATTATAAGAGGCCATTGCATGAAGCTGCTTCAATGAGTCACCACGAATGTGTAAAGTATCTACTTTGGGAAGGAGCAAAGGTGGACAGCTTGAAGAAAGGCGACTGGTAAGGATAAATAATAGTTCTTCCCTTTAATTGCAGGGAGAAGTGTTGAGTTCGAATTGGCCCCAGCGATGTACCATCCACCTTCGATAGCTCAGTTGGTAGAGCGGAGGACTGTAGTGGCATCATGCTGTAATCCTTAGGTCGCTGGTTCGAATCCGGCTCGAAGGACTTGATTTTCATAAGAGAGATATTGCAACGTTAAAATAATAGGACTGTATTCACTTTTTACCGCTGCTTCCTGATACAATTGCACGTGTGTTTATTTATCTTCAACAAGGTTAGTGTTTTCCAAAATATGTCAAACAAATGGTATAAATGGGTTCATCATTAAGCTTGTGTAAAAATGTATTGCTATTTGCTCCAAATTCTTTTTTTGAAATGTCAATTTTCTACAGTCATGGCCAAAAGTATTGAGAATGACACAAATATTATATTTTCACATGATCTGCTGGCCTCTGGTTTTCATGTGTGTATGTCAGATGTTGTCATCACATACAGAAATACAATCAATGCTTGAATTTTGTCAGAATTCCTAGGTTTTCGTTTTTCCACCCGTCTCTTATTGATTGACCATTAGTTTTCAATGGGATTAAGATCAGGGGAGTTTCCAGGCCATGGACCCAAAATCTCTATGTTTTGTTCCCTGACCCAGTTAGATATCACCTTTGGCAAGGTGCTCCATCATGCTGGAAAAGGCACTGTTCATCACCAAACTGCTCTTGGACGGTTTGGAGAAGTTGCTGTCGGAGGACATTCTGCTACCATTCTTTATTCATGGCTGTGTTTTTAGGTAAAACTGTGAGAGAGCTGACTCCCTTGGCTAAGAAGCAACCCCACACATGAATGGTTTCAGGATGCTTTACAGTTGGCATGAGAGAAGACTGGTGGTAGCGCTCACCTCATCTTCTCCAAACAAGCCGTTTTCCAGATGTCCCAAACAACTGGAAAGGGGATTCATCAGAGAAAATGACTTTAGCCCAGTCCTCAGCAGTCCACCCCCTGTACCTTTTGCAGAATATCAGTCTGTCCCTGATGTTTTTACTGGAGAGAAGTGGCTTCTTTGCTGCCCTCCTTGAGACCAGGCCTTGCTCCAAGAGTCTCGGCCTCACAGTGCGTGCAGATGCACTCACACCTGCCTGCTGCCATTCCTGAGCAAGCTCTGTACTGCTGGTGGCCCGATCCCACAGATGAAACACTTTTAAGAGACTGTCCTGGCGCTTGCTGGTCTTTCTTGGGCGCCCTGGAGCCTTATTGGCAACAATGACGTTGAAATGTGTTTTGGGGGATAAAGTTCATTTTCTGGGCAAATATTGACTTTGCAATTAATTGCTGTTATGCTGAACACTCTTTTTAACATTCTGGAGTGTATGCAAATAGCCGTAAAAAAACTGAAGCAGTAGACTTTGTAAATATCAACATTTGCATCATTCTCAAAACTTTTGGCCATGACTGTATACTCTCTCTCTTTCTCTCTCTCTCTCTCTCTCTCTCTTTCTCTCTCTCTCTCTCTCTCTCTCTCTCTCTCTCTCTCTCTTTCTATATATATATATATATTAACAAATGAAAGACTTTCAATATATTTTCCATGCTAAAAGCTAAAGTACATTCTCTTACTCAGGACTCCTCTAATGATGGCATGTACTCGGAAGAACCTGGAAGTTATACAGGAGCTTTTGTTTCATGGAGCTGATCCAACTTTACGAAACAAAGATGGATGGAACGCTTTCCATATCGCATGTAGGGAAGGTAGTCCTATGGTCGTTGAGCACCTGCTTAATACTGCAACAGATATCTGGAGGACGGAGAGCAAAACATGCAGGACACCATTGCACACTGCAGGTGAAGTGCCATATATCTTAAGTTTCAGCACGCACTTCTTCCTGATAAGAACTTTAGCATTAACTGACAGATTACTTTCTCTGCTTGTTATACAGCAATGCATGGCTGTGAAGAGGTTGTGAGGATCTTATTGGAGAGGTATGTTGTTATTCTGTATGGGGTATATATCCCACAAAAAACGTCCTGTTGAATCATATATATTTTATTTTTCAGCTACCAGTAGATGTTGTGGCTTTTCAGAGCTTGTTGCAGGGGTTAGAAGACTGGGTGGGTGGTTAGACCTAATGTGTATGACCTGTGGGGTTCCCCAGGGATCAATCCTGGGATCTCTATTGTTCAATCTGTACATGCTTCCATTTGGCCAGGTTATACGCAGCCATAATGTGTTCTATCACGACCATTTTGGTGACACTCAGATCCACGTGTCACTGAAACATTGCCCCGATTTATTTTATTACTGTAGCTACTGTACAGTGGGGATGCAGACCTAGTTTCTCCAGTTAAAGTCAGACAAAACTAAAATGATTCTCTGTATCCCACAGAAACAAAGTACCAGCACTGCTACATTTAATGAATAACATTGCCAAGCTTATACCATCGTAAAAAGCATTGGCAGAATCAAAGCAATAGTGTGTAAACCAGGCTTAGTTGTTTTGGTAGCAGGTTGGATAACTGTATTGTCCTGCTCACTGGGCTCTCTGAACAAGCAGTAAAACAGCTGCAGAAGATCCGGAAGGCTGCTGCTCGAGTTTCTAAATCAAACCAAGAAATACGACCATATTGAACAGTGCTCAGGTCTCTACACTTGCTTCCTGTCATTTTGATAATAGACTTTAAAACAGCTCTGCTTGTGTACAAATTTCTTCATGGTCAAGCACCAGGGTACATCTCTGACATGTTAGAGTGATATGAACCAGCTCAGACTCTGAGAACCTCAGATAGTGGTCTCCTGCTACTGCCCAGAACCAAACAAGGTGAGGCTGCATTTCAGTGTTATGCCCCTAAAATCTGGAACCGTTTTCCTGAAGAAATGAGACAGGCCTCAATGCTGTCAGTGTTTAAATCCAGGCTGAAAACAATTCTATTTAGCTATTCGTATGACAACTGCAATTATTTTATCTACACTTTATCTACACTTTGTTTTATTTAGCTGAACTTGAATTTATTTCTGCTTTTAAAATATTATTTATAGCATTTTTTCTTATTCTTATCTTTTATGTCTTGTACACGGAAATACAAATAAACTTATATGGCCTTTTTGTACACATTTTTGTAACGTGTGCTGGTTTTTAAACTTTACTGAATGTCTTCCTCCAGGTGTAACTACACCACAGATAACACTGACAGCTGTGGAGTCACACCTTTTATGGATGCTTTAAGGAATGGACACATCTCTATTGCCAAGCTTCTTTTAGAGAAGCATCAGGTAAAACAAAATGGTTCTACACAGTGATGTTTCAGCAATAGTTTTATATACATACACTTTTAACTAGAGCATATGTGGTAGGCATCTCCAGTGGCTGCTGATGTACTTGGAACTAAGCCAGTGCACCAGGTTGCTATCACCGGCCAGGAAGAGGCCCTGCGATTCCTTGTGCAAGATCTCGGTGTAGATGTGAATCAGAGTGCGACAGATATTCAGCTCACTGCCCTGCATTATGCTGCAAAGGTAAGACAAATCGTTTCCAACCAGGAGTTCGCACACTTTAGGGAAGTTCTGTAGTTGTGTGGGAATTCTAACTCTCAGTTTTAAGTTTTAAACACTTTCTCCGCTCTTTTGTTTCTGCACTGTATATAACACTATGTATGTTGGGACATTAAACACAACATATTTGCAAAATTGTTGACAGTGTGTGTAAATTAGTTAGAAAACAATCAGAAAGACCTAAACAGGTAGCTACAAAAAAAAAAACATTTCTGCAAATAATGAAGGTGTGCTCAAGTTGAAAAGGAACAGAGGCCATAGAAATATTTGTACTTTTTCAGCTTCACATGGACATCATATAAATATTATTTTATTTTATTTAGTTTTTATTTAGTTTTCCATTTTCTTGCTCATCTGTCCTGCTTGTATACTAAAAGGCAATTAACATTAAAAAACAAGTTTATTTAAAGACTTACATTGTATTTCTAAGGATATGGCATCTGAGTAGAGAATACATACATCTTTTCAAACTCAAAATTCATTTAATCAAAGTTTATTTTTTCACATGTACAGTATGTGTGGTACAACCATAGGTGAAAAGCTTTTATCACTGCAAGTCCACAATATTAATAAAAATGAAAAAATGTACTCTTGTTTTAAAAAAAGGTGTATGAAAATTGAAAAACACTATAAAGTGTTCTTCTAGAGATGTAGAGAAAAGAATGATTCATTTTGTTCCATTTTATTATGTGTCAAATAATACATTTCAAAATGCGACATTAATAGAATACTCAATGTGGAAGTGCTTGGACGAATTATCAGTGGTGTGTCTTGGGGTTAGCGGGTGTTTTGGGTCTGTTACAATACACTCGCACGGGTGACCCAATAGACTTGCAATGTACCAGTTCTTTGCATTTCCAGGAATAAAAACTTAAAGAAAAGCCATAGGGTCAGGATCCCTTTGTGTGTGATGGACAGTTTTACCAGAAATTTTTACATCTCACCTGATGATATTGTTTTTAGGAGGGACACACGGCTTTAATAAAAACACTGTTGGAGTTGGGGGCAGATCTTTACGTTCGGGATAAAAAAGGACGGAGTGGTAAGCTTGATATTTAAATGGAATCATATGTTATTCAAATTTTATACAACTTCAAGCCCTACATTTTTCTTTTTTTCAAAAAGTTATAATATTTTTTTGTATTATCTATCTCTGTGATATGTGCTCTTGGGCTGGTTTCATGACTGCTGCACATAAAAAAAATCAATAATGAAATATTGATTAATTTGAATAAATCTAACACATATAAGAAAATAATCTTTGTTAGTGATCCATTCAAAGAATTATAAAAATCATTCAATAAAATAGTGTAATGATTTTGAGCCTGACCCAATTTTAAATGAATTTCTGTTTTTTACCTCACTTATTTTTCCATTTAGTAGATAATTTATGGAAAAAGGAACGCATTTAACTGTTTTATTCTTCACTGCTAATTCAGTTTGATTTTCTCTGAATCTATCAGCACTTCATATGGCTTGTATCGGACAGCATGTAGAAGCTGTAAGAATTCTCCAGCTGTTTGGGCTCCAAGACTCTGAGGATGCGTCTGGCACAACGGCACGGCAGCTTGCGAAGAAACCCGAGATTATGCAAGTGTTTGAATCTGAGCTGTCTGGACCATTAGACACACTAATGTCATGACTCTAAGCACATATTTATAACTCGGTATTGTTGTCTTGACAGTGTGAATATGCTTGAAATAAATCTTATGGAAGAGGCTGTGCCTTAAAAAGAAACAGGGTGTCTTTTTCAAAATGTGTTTTTTGGCTGCCTTGGTAGCTTAAAAGTAATCATGCTCTGAAGTCTGGCATGAATGGTAAAGAGAGAAGCTGTTGTTTGTCACAGGACTTTATACATACTTTGTTGGTGTGTCGAACATTAACTTGATTTATGCAGTAAAACAAATTATTTGGCAAGAAAATGCTGTAGAAATGCGCTTCACTTAAATGCATTTCTTTTCCCAACATTAATTCCAGGGTTAGATTTTAAAGGATAAAAAGTTTATTGTTAAAAGAGATAAGTAAGATTTTTCTTTTGTTTTTTAGAAGCTATCTCTACTTTTTCCCACACAAACAATACAATGCAAAGGACAATTAGCGCCTCATCTGAGATTGACAGGAGCAGAAGTCCCGCCCCTGAAGCGCCTGACACTGAACCGCAGCCTTTCTCATTTCCAGCTCCCCAGATCTCCATTTTCTTCTTTCCAGACTGTAAGGAAGAGAAGTCTAAAGATTCGAAAAAATGAATGAAGAATACGACGTTATCGTTCTGGGTACTGGTCTGACGGTGAGAGAGCGTCAAACAATGCAATTTGCAGCGTTGAAGTGATTAGCAACCTGTTACCAACGCAGTTAGCGGTTGACAGTTGGGCTCTGAAATAACTAGGCCTAATAGGCTAAGCTAACGCTAAGTAGCTAGCTTAGCCGCAAACCGAGTCAGGGACTACATGAAATGTAATGGAAACATGAAACGAAGGAGCTAACGCCACCGGATAGCATTGTGCCTTCAGTGTCTAAAGATTAACGATACCAGTTGCAAACGTACACAAAATTTCTTGAAACCGTGTGCAGTAGCTGCTCATAGTAACTGTGATGATGAACCTGAATGCGATTTACACAGCCATCTTGCAGCTTATTGGAGGTTGGGGGGCAGTTTAGAAATATTTTCTCAAGATTATAAGGCGGATGATAAGTACGCTAACGTTAGCCGACCTACTTTTGCTAATTAATTAGCTGGCTAACTGTGGAGTGGCGATTCGTCTTGCCTTCCACTATAATCTTATTTTAAGAACTGCTTGACAACAGATTTAATGATGCTTTGACACTTTTGGGGAATTTTGATCCGCTTTCACATGTATTTAAAAGTGGTTACAAACCGAGTGATCTTATTAACCTGAAAAGTATTGTAGTTTCCGCATTGAGTCAGTATGGTGGACTGAAACCCTTGACCGATAACATTTCAAGTTTGTTTTAAACATTAACATCGCGATCCTTCGCAAAGTTGGCAACGCGTTTGTATGATATTTGGAGAAATTGCAGTTCATTTATGTAGAGTCTTTTTATAAAACACTTTCCTTCTTAGAAATAAAACAAAACAAAGTAGTTCACCCGTTCTCAATGGCGAAAAATTAGTCTTGTGGTCTTCCTGAGTTGCTGTCAGTTGTATATGGCAGAAGCATATCATGGAAATCCCGTGGTCGCTTTTGTAGTCAATCGCTTGGCTTTATTTCTATTCCAAGGCGCTAAAATGCATTTTCTGGATTGTCCTCAATCCGCAAAGCATTCTTCAACTTGAATGTAATTACTATTCAACCAAGCCACGTTTATTGAGATTGTTTCACAGGAAAAAATGATAAAAAGGACTAAGTTGTTAAGGTCTAAAGCAGAAAGAGTTAATAAAGTTGAAACGGTGAGTTTGATTTAAAATTTAGTGACCAGATTGATGTTTAAACTCCACTTGGGTGTGGTTCTGAAAAAAACTGGAACTGAAAGTGTACAACAGGAACACTAGACTGCCTCTACAATGAGACCTGGTTTCCATCCTGTTAAACAATACTTGCATACATAAAAAAAAGTTGAACTTTTGGTTCCTAATATAAAGCAGTGACTTCACCTGTATCTGTTACATTCCTCTTCATATGTTGTGCACTAACATAGCTTTAGTTATATGCTCTCAGTAGTCTGTTCAAAGTTGCATAACATTTAATTGTATTTAGCATTGTAAGAAAAAGTAAACGGTACTGTTGATTTTGTTTTATTCCTGATTTTTAAGAATATTGCTAATTTAGATCACTGCTATTCAGCATTTCTAAATGATCAGGTTATTTATGTTGATGCATTTAGCAGACGCTTTTATCCAAAGCGACTTACAAAGTAGGGGGGCACCTTTAATGTGTCTTAATACTTTGTAAGTGTTTCAGGGTTTGTTTTATGTTCCTAAATTTGGAGCGGAGTTATAAGTGTACCAGTTTGAAGAACTTTGTTATTTTAAGGTAACCTACATTTTAAGGATGAAGGTTTAATCCCCACAATCCTTCATTTTGCATGGGTTACGTTGTCTTGAATAATAAGATACACATTTTCAGATATTAATCTGGCATAAATTGTATTTTTATGCGGGTTGCCATCTGGGACGTAGTTTGACTCAAGGTGTCAAGTGCAGTTTGATTGATATCACAATGCTTGTGAAGATCTGGTATTCTGCAGCTCTTGACCTGCATGTGAGGCGGAATGTTTATACGTGTGTGCCAACAATGGATTCATTTGACAATGAGTAAATTACTTGTTTTAGTAATTGGCTGTTGAAAGTTAGCAAGACGCTTAAAGTATATTGCAAGGTCATTCTTTTAATTTGTGTTGTTATGATCATTGCATGCTCTGTTATAAAACTTGCATGAACTCATATCTTTCAATCACTATGAGGAAATTATTTTATAACCCGTAAGTGTTGCAAACCTCTCTTTTGTCCCTTTTTATGTCACATGTTTTGCTTGTGGAACTTAAATCTGCTGGTCATCGTAGCTAATGTTTAAGTACATTCAATGTTTTTTTAAGTCTTTATTGTATTGTGTATATATAGCACAATTGGTAGTTTTTGACTGTATCACTGTTATTTTTTAAATGTTTATATGTACATATGTTTATTTTTATTTGAGCAGTCTTTTCCGGTCAACCATTAATATTTAATTTCTAATAACTTCACAAAAAAGGGTATCTAAGCAATCTTCATGCAAACTTTCTCTGCTTGTCCAAAGATTTTGTACAGGTTGAGGATTAAAGTCCAATGTGTGACTTGAATATTTGACTGCTGTATAATCAAAGCGTTTAACCTTAATGTGTAAAATATGTAATTTGACGTGGACATTGACCCTGCTTCCAGTTAGTTACATTGGCAGCATTTTCTGCGTGATTGCGAGCTGTAATCATGCGTTTTCCCCTCTGTCAGCATGGCATCAGCTATTTGGCTGAGATAGTGATGAACAGGCTGCTTCTATCTGTCAAAGCCTGCATTTATGCAGACACCAAGTTGGCTTCAGATGCAGAGTGATGCATCAGAACCTCTGAGGCTAGTTCATCATGAAAAGTGCAGAGTTCAAATGCATCGGTTTGTGTGTCTGTCACTGTTAGATGTGAGCTCTGCAACAGCACTAATTTTATCTTTCCCTGAGCATGAAATGTTTTCTTTAGACAAAGGCATCACCTTTGGAAAAATTTTGGGTACCATTGCTTGCAAATATCAGAAAATCAAGATTGTAGATAATACTCTATTCTGTACCTGACCCTGTGTAACATTTCTGTAAAGAGTAATCATTGCCTTGTGTGGACAACATTCCAGTCTGTCCATCCATCTATCCATTCGGTCCTTCCCCTTCATTTTGCTCTGACATTGATCAAAAAAAGATGAATCAGTGTGTTGGTTTTATCTAGAACATGGCACAAACTAAACTTTTCCCGTGTTTATCTGTTTTCATCCAAATGTGCAGTTTGACAGTTTTGTGTGAAGTAGATTTTTTTTGTTTTAGGATAATTGCAAAAGCAGAAAGAATTATTTATATGGTTGTATATTGTCAAAATGGGCTAAAATGGACAACTTGTACTAACATGTAGGAGTTGTTAGCTGTAAACAGCTTTGAGAGAGCTCTTAGTTTGGTCAGACGAGGTGGTTCAGGCACATTGTTTTATCCTTTTCTAGTCTCCAGCAAGTCAGACCAATGTATCCTGGAAAGAAACTATTGACATTAAGCCCTGTTTGTTTTTATCATGTGATGGATGAAAGTTACCACGTGCCCCTCAAGTCCAACCATCAGCTTAGCTGTAAAACTTGTTCTGCACTCACATGATGCATGTCGCGTTTATCTGATTTCTACAAACCTGCCACTGTAATGGTATTAAGGCAAAGGGAATGCTAGAATTTCTGGTTAGCTAACCCACAGATTTTCGTTCACTACCAAACCACTGAAGTCTGAAACCCAGTGGAAGCTGCAATTATTTCTCCAGCTCCACATAGGCATGCCAGACATTATGCTGTTTCTGGGTGTGTCAGCTACATTTTTTGAGCTGCCAACATTTGGCAGTACGTTTCTGCTCTGGCTGATCCCATGCTCAAAAAAAGTAACTGAAATGCTGCATTGTTTCTATGTAGAAAGGGATTTTTTTCAGGAAATCAGTTAATGGACTTTTTAGTCATTAAAGACTGGTCTTAATATTCAGTTTCTTCATTACTCCAACTCTGCAAAGATATTTAAGAAGAATTTTTAGATGAAATGCCATTTTCAACGTAGTTTAGTTTTAGTTTAGGACCAAAAATGCACACACATGGTAGTAAATATCTGGCCATCTCAACCTTTACCCAACCTCATATTGTCTTCCCATTTACAAAAAACAATTTTTGCTAGACTGCTTTGATATATTCTGAAACAAGATGCATAAAATGATCATCTAATTTATTTTTAACCTTTTTATTAAACTTTTATCCTACACATTTATATATTTATTTAGCTTATTTTATGTCAGCTGGAATGCTAGATATAGTTCACCGAAAATTATACTCAGGTTGTGGAAAATGTATGGATAATATAAAGGGAAAAGTGCAAAAAATACTACTTTTGAAAAACAGCTAAATAGTATGTCTAGTGCTTGTCAAAAATTAGGGTATTCATTTCAAAGTATTTCAGTAACAATACCTTCACTTGTCCTCCCAGGTCAAATTCAGCTGATCATGTTTGAGTTGTCAACTTGTTTCCTATATCTTTAATGAAACATTTATATAAAAAAAAACTTTAATGTAATACACATAGTCTTTTTTTTTGTTTGATTTATTTTTTAAAGAAATAAATATAAATTATTTGGACTTTTTTTTAATTGGAGGCACATGAACTACTATCACACTTTAGAAATGTAACAAACTGACCCAAAGACAACCAGGAGGTTTAAAGTAATTCTGTTTAAGAAAAAAGTGGAAAGACGTGACCAATTTCATGGCTCATAATTCAGGTGTCATGGCTTTAATAACAGGAACAATGCCAAATTACATAGCATGGCTTTCATGTTTATGCTGGCTGAGGCGAATGTTTGGTGTGATGTTTTGAAAGTCATTTTTGGGCAAGAGCATGCTGTTATAATCTCATTCCCTATTTTTTTGTCTCTTCCAATAGGAATGCATTCTATCAGGCATCATGTCAGTGAAGGGGAAGAAGGTTCTGCACATGGACCGCAACTCTTACTATGGAGCTGAGAGTGCTTCCATCACACCCCTTGAAGAAGTATGTCGATCTAAAATGAAAGAGGATTGGTGTCAGTCATTGTTTTTATAATTATTGGCTTAAAATGCATATAAACCTCATTCAGCAAATAATACTCTTTCATTTATCTAAAAGAAAAAAAAAAAAAAAAGTATATTGGATCCAATATTTGTGTTACTTTCTGAAAGAGATTCTGTGTCAGAAGTTGCTTTGACTGTTGACTATGGCTCAAGTCTAGTTTTGATATTATCACCCTGCAGCTTTTCAAGCGCTTCAACCTTCCCGGCAACCCACCAGAGTCGATGGGAAAAGGCCGGGATTGGAATGTGGACCTTATCCCGAAGTTCCTCATGGCTAACGGTATTCTTTTAATTAGTCATCTTTGATGTGAATGTGGTAATTTAAATCTGTCGTTAAGGAACAAACCACCTGTATTTTGACAATGACATGAATGATTATGCATGAATAACGTCAGAACATAATTATAAGAGTTTTAAGGTTTTATTAAATTACACCAAACAATTTTCTGGATTTCATAGTTTCTAGAATTTTACATGTGGTGTAAAACACAAAAGAAAGTGCACATGGCTATACAGTGTCATGCTCCTGTTATGGTTTTGGTTTTGATAAAAGTAAGTAAATGAAGGACGGAAGGGCTCAGAATTAAGTGTGTTAAAACTTTTATATTCCACTTATTTAAGTTAAATTCAATCTTATTTATATTGTGCCAAATCACAAGAAACATTATCTCTAGACACTTCAGTTATGATCTAATTAGAATCCAATTAGTTTTAAAACAGTCATGATCCAATCGTTTCATTGAATAGCAAATTATTCAAATTCATACAGAGACCATTACAAAAGCATTAGAAAAAGTTTCCTCCCCAAGGTAACCAACAGATCCAATTGGCAGAACCAGACTTGAAGAGGGAAAAAAAAACATTTTGCCTTTTTTCTGAAACAATGCTCTACTTTGTTTTTTTTTAAGTGTTTTGTGTAAAGTATCGTCATAGTTTAAATGGCTTTAAATGAGTGTCCCAGGTAAGCAGTAGAGAGCACAACAACTACTAATGGAGACTATTGAGTTTTAGTAAAGATTTACAACATCAATATTTGCCTAATTACCTTTTTAAGATGAAAATAAAGCATTTGATTTTTTTCCAGGTCAACTGGTCCGCATGCTGCTTATCACACAGGTGACTCGCTACCTTGACTTCAAAGTGATTGAAGGCAGTTATGTGTACAAAGGGGGGAAAATCTATAAAGTGCCCTCCACAGAGACCGAGGCTCTGGCATCCAGTAAGTTTTTTTCAAAGCGTTCGACATTTGGTGTGTCATCTTGTTTGATGAGTTCTCAAAGTTTACGCACTCTCTTTCAAAGGCCTGATGGGCTTGTTTGAGAAACGGCGCTTCAGGAAGTTCTTGATCTTTATCGCCAACTTTGACGAGAACGACCCAAAGACCATGGAAGGTGTTGATCCCAACAAGACAACAATGAGGGCCATTTTCCAGAAGTTTAGCCTGGGGCAGGAAGTTATCGATTTCACTGGCCACTCTCTGGCACTCTACCGGACAGACGAGTGAGTATTCGTTGGAGTTGTGATGATGCCCGTCAGACATGGATTTAACAATGCAAAATTTTGTCATTTTCTCTTCTCCCAGTTACCTGGATCAGCCCTGCGTCCAAACGATAAACAGGATAAAGCTTTACAGCGAGTCTCTAGCCAGATATGGCAAGAGCCCATACCTCTATCCACTGTATGGTCTGGGAGAACTGCCACAAGGCTTTGCAAGGTAGAGAAGTCCTCCCTTTGCACACATTTTATAGTATCATGTAAACCGTGTTAGATTATTAACCAAGTGAAGCTCATGAATAACATTTAACTAGCTAGCTCTTAAAATAGTCTGCACAAAGTGCTAAGAAAGCAACAAACTCTTGTTAAAAATGCATTCTTTTATTTCTGTAAAATGTTAAAGGTACTTATTGTTTACAACCCTCTGTGTAAGTCACGCGTGGCCAACCCTCTCCTAACTATCATCAGTGTTTAGAAGGTTGAATGAAGCTGCAAAAGAATGCATCAATTTACTTTATTTCTCAGTGAATGTGATCTGTAAGATTAGGGTGAAAATGTAACTAAGATGTCTACGTATAAAACCTTGAACATTTGAATTTATAACTATCCAGATGTTGCACTCATCTAGCTTTAAACTTGTTCCTGGTTAAATCTTATTCGGCATAATTTGTTGACTTCATCACTGTGGTTACGGCAAGCTAAGCAGGGCTTTTATCACACCGGGATCTCAATGATATGAAGTGCAGCTATGGTGGCCAAAGCCTCATGATGCAGCTGTTATTATCTCAGTCAAGCAAACATTCCCAACCAGACTTTGCCAAGGAGAAAATTCTTTTCCACTCACAGCAAATTTCCATTGTCAGTCCAAGCTTTTAAAGGAAGTTGTTTAAATTTCTGAAAAAATATATCAAGTACAGTCTCGTAAGATTGTTATTTGAGAAGTTTGGAAGCAAGGTAAAGTTCTCACAGGGAGAGAATGTTGGCCCTTACCCATTGACTTTGGAGTGGACATACAGTTACTTCCTTTTATGCATCGTGCCTGAAATCTGGTACTCTTGTGTATGAAGGTTTGGTTAGGTGGCACATGTCAAAGTAACATTCATTATAACAAATGGTTGCTTTTTTTCCCCTCCAAAAACAACAATTGTAAAAGGCGATGGATTGTTTTTCATTTGCAGTGTAAATTTTGAGTGTATTTCTAATACTGCAAGATTATTGTCCAAATGTCAAACATACTTGAGAAATAAAACATGAACAACTGTGGAAAATGTATTTTTATTGTAATTGTAATGTTATTTGTTGAAATTTGATTACATAAGAAGTAGCATACTGTAATTGAATATATTTTTATTCCCGGCATTTATTTTTTATTTTGTATATTTTAAAAAATGTGTTCAATTGTGATTCTTTTACAGACTGAGCGCTATCTATGGTGGGACGTACATGTTAAACAAGCCCATAGAAGAGATTGTGATGGAGAATGGAAAGGTGGTGGGAGTCAAGTCTGAGGGAGAGGTGAGCATGTTCGTCTGAATAAAATAATCTCTTAAAATTGTAAAATTGGATTATATTTAATTTTTTAAAAATTACAATTTTCATGACTTAACATTAAAAGTGCAGTTCTTCCAACGTTTATCTCACAGTGGATACAGTTCTGGGGGGTATTTATCAAGATCATCAATTACCTATGGAAGTAAATATGTGCCATCAGAATTTGAATAGAAAATAACTCCGAAATTTGAATGTTGTATATTAGTGCTTACTTTTTCAGTATTAAAATAAATTCAGAATATATTTTTAACCTAAAAAAATTTCAATGTCATTATTTGTACATTAAAAAAAAAATTCAGTGTAATTTTTTTTACATGGTTGCAATTTTCATTTATTAAAAAAATTCACATTCCTATTTCAAAGTGATAACATTTTCAATATACATATTTTTCACAGTTTAAATTTTCAGTGTTAAAAAATTCAGCATATAAAAAATTCAATTTTTCAAAATTCTAATGCATTATTTTCGTTGTCCTCCAATTCAACTTGCTCAAATTCGCTGTCTCAAATTCAGCGTCTAAAAATTCGCTGTAAAAATGGCCAATGTTACTTCGTGTCACAGACATTAGCAATGGATGTCCGATTCCAACATCCACCTAATCACGTGACACAAACCAGTGTTTTAAATCAGGCTTTAAGATAATGTATCAAACTTCATGCGCAAAATAAAATATACTACAGAAATATTAAAGCATTAAACTCACCGTTGGGTTTGAGTTTGCCTCCATGGTCGCCAGCCTGGGTGATACTGGTACTTCTTCAATATGACGGTTGTGTCACGTGATTAGGTGGATGTTGGAATCGGACATCCATTGCTAATGTCTGTTACACGAAGTAACATTGGCCATTTTTACAGCGAATTTTTAGACGCTGAATTTGAGACAGCGAATTTGAGCAAGTTGAATTGGAGGACAACGAAAATAATGCATTAGAATTTTGAAAAATTGAATTTTTTATATGCTGAATTTTTTAACACTGAAAATTTAAACTGTGAAAAATATGTATATTGAAAATTTGATCACTTTGAAATAGGAATGTGAATTTTTTTAATAACTGAAAATTGCAACCATGTAAAAAAAATTACACTGAATTTTTTTTTAAATGTACAAATAATGACATTGAAATTTTTTTAGGTTAAAAATATATTCTGAATTTATTTTAATACTGAAAAAGTAAGCACTAATATACAACATTCAAATTTCGGAGTTATTTTCTATTCAAATTCTGATGGCACATATTTACTTCCATAATTACCACTTATAATCTCTTGCCTTGCGATTTTTAAACATGACAAATATTACTTTTGGTATTTAACTCAGGATTATATTGCAGACTTGAAATTTGAACAATCTGCAGTTGAGTTGAACGAGAAAAAATAACTAAGCTTCGGTGTTAACAAATTACATTTCTGACCCCATCAGGTTTCCATTATATCAAAATTTAAGTTTATTTTTTTATTTTTTTATTTCGTTTCCACAGATTGCAAGGTGCAAACAGCTCATCTGTGACCCTAGCTACATTATGGATCGTGTCAACAAAGCAGGTCAGGTGATCAGACTCATCTGCATCTTAAATCATCCCATTGCCAACACCGGTGACATCAACTCATGCCAGATCATCATCCCTCAGAATCAGGTCAACAGGAAGCATGGTGAGTACACAATTTAAAGGGCTGTACTGTAACATAAGCATGTAATGGAGAATAATCTTTTAAAAAATTAAGTATTGCAGGAAAATGAAATATCAGTAAACAACTTTTTATATGGTGTTTTTTTTTTAAACTGCAGTCTGAGACTTTGACAAAAGCTTTGCATTTTCAATGTAAAACTAACCAAAAAATGAAAAATCTCTGCTTTTTCAGACATCTACGTTTGTATGATCTCATTTGCTCACAATGTGGCAGCAAAAGGTAAATACATTGCAATTGTCAGCACTACAGTGGAGACAAACGACCCTGAAAAGGAGATCAAGCCAGCCCTAGATCTACTTGAGCCCATTGAACAGAAGTTTGTCAGCATCAGCGACCAATACGCACCGACCGACATGGGCACTGATAGCCAGGTAAAATCTGATGGATTAACTCAATCTTGGAAAGACGAAAGGCGACGGGTTTTTTGTGGTATATTTCTGAGAAAATTATTAGAATTTTACATAACTTACAGGGTACTTCTGTTTATGTTTTCTCTTGTCTAACTGAAAGGTTCGCTGATACCTAAAATTTTCATTGTTATGGACTCAGTCTTAATTTCTGTTTTGAATAATATATTGTATTAATCAGAATTGAAATTAGATTAAAGTTTAAGTAATATATATTTTAATTAATTGATGGAGACACGACCCAATTAAAAGATTATTGCTAATAAAGGGGGTTGGAATTAATATTTCACAATCAATTTTTATGTAGTAGCACTGTCTAATAAAAGCGTAATTTGTTGATTTAAATAGAAGTTGTTTGACAACAAAACCGATGACATGCATATATACATACACTCACACAGGCATACATGCACATACTAAATGATACTGACAATACTTTACTAATACTTTAATCTTCCAACAGTATCAAATTTCAGACATTTTTTGACAAAATTGTTCCCCTAATGTCTGTTTCTCTCGCTTTAAAAGCAAAGTCAAGAAAATAGCTAATTCATTGACTAACTGCAGGGGTCCAATTGAATTTGTCGAAATTAAATTGAATTACTTACATTTGTTAATCTGTCTAAATATTTTCAGTAGCAAAAACCATTTAAAAATGATAGTCATACAAAGTATACCTGTCATCTGTGACACGCAGGAGTTACACAAGCTGGCATTTGAGTTTCACATAAAAAAAAAACAAAGAATTACAGAGCTTGGATTAGCATTGCTAGATATTAGACATGAGAATGGTAGAATCAAATTGTTTTTTGTTTTGTTTTTATTCTTCTGTGAATAATTAATCAAATGAACACATCAGAGTTAATACATTTATAGATAATCTATAGTAGACTTTTTACTCACTGATACTCTACAATGAGGCAGTTGGTCAGGGTTAATAGGAAAAGGGCAAAATTACTAAACGGCTAAAATTCTGTCCCCCTCTAGATCTTTATCTCCCGTACATACGATGCCACAACTCACTTTGAGACCACCTGTGATGACATCAAGGACATCTACAGGAGGATGACTGGATCAGACTTCGACTTTGCAGAGATGGAGCGCAAGAAGCAGGACATCTTCGGTGACGCGGCAGAGTAGATGCGACGCATCAGCAACACTTGATTATCAAAGATGACGATAACGGAAATCTTACATGAAATCTTACATAAAATAGAAAATCTTGAAAAAATATGTACACACCAATGGGCTAAATGAATATCCAAGTATAGTGTTTGCCCATTGAGGAGGTCCATGATATATAGAGAGATATGATGTAGTATTGTTGGATAGGGAACAGGGAGGGAACAATGCTTCAGATCACATTCAGGTGGATGTTACATTAAACACAGGTTATGCCTAGTACTCCGTAACATTTTTGAGTCATCATGTTAAGATGATGCTTTGTCCAAAGATGCCAAATTAAATTATAATTGATAATCAGTAATATCTTTTGCAAAGTATCTGTTGGGAGGGTGGGGAGTCCAATTTTTCTGTCATTGTGTAAAAGGATCTGTAAAATGTCCTCAAATACAATATTTTTTTTCCTGCAGGTTTGTGTTTGTCATGTCGGGTGTAGAGAGAGAGAGAGAGAGGGGGGTGGTTTGGCTTTATCCTTTGGTAATAAATCATGTAATTGAATGTTCCCGTGGAGTGCGATAATTTGAAAAAAGCTGAGCTGTAGACAGTTCTGAGACTCAGCCAACATATCGTATGGTCAGAATTTGTGAAATAAAGTGGTTTAGTTTATTTGCTTGGTATTTTCATATAAATATTTTTTACCTTTATTGTTTAATCCATAAACTGCCAAGACACATTACTGTCAGCCAAGCCACAGTAGTGAATCTAGTCGAGGATAAACAACCTGATCCTGTTCACAACACCTTGAGCTACAGCAGTGCATCAGAGGATATATATTAGCACCTGTATTATGCAAAATGATTGAAGACTCGAGCAGAAACTGTAGATGGCAAGTGTGGTTCATTATAAATTTGCTTAAGAAGGACCAAATATGTACTGGAGCAGTATTGAATTGAGAGCCCTGTGATACTGGTGTTGAACAACTGTAAGAAAAAAGGAAAAAAATGCTTGGCTCAAATGATTTCTGTACTGCAAAGTTTAAAGTGACAAAAAAAACTTTCATGAACCTTGGTGTTTCATTTATTTTTTTAACGTTTTTTTTTTTCTCAAGTCACAAAGTGACGTGTATTTATACCTGGGGTGTGCTTTGTGTGACCCAAACTTATAATTACCGTGTTTTCTGGGACTTGTGTTGAATGGGAGCAGCAACTTTATCGCAGTGACGGGTCCATAAAAATACATGCACTATGATAGCTTTGGACTACAATTCCCACATTTCACTTCGCCCACGAAATTTAAAACCAACGCACTGGTAGAAATCCAATCCGTCGTATTTTTGGACCCTTTAACCTTCTGGAAATTAGATTATACGTTTATCGGTTTGGCATGGAAGTTACAGCAGCTCGCCGTTCGTTTCTTTGCGATATCGGTAAGCACTGTCAAGTTTTGAACAGATTATAACATTAGAAACAGAAGTTTATAATGCTAGGTAGCTACTGTGAACCTTTAAGATAATTATTCCCGTATCGCATGTGGCGTGACTTTACGTCTTCAGGGCTTAGACGACACATTAACTCAGGCTACATTAGAGTATTGCAAATATTTTCAAAGTTTAAAGGTGTCGCTTGGAAATTACGTAGCCGTTTTTCTTGCAAACGAGTCTTCAAGAGTATGGCAGATATTCAAACCTGCATCTATTTGGGTTAATTGTCCTGTCTCAAAGGCAGTTAATGGGTAGGCTACACATGGGCATGGTACTGCAGTAAAGTTGGCAACATATTCACAAATTCAGTGGCATGGTTGTGTGGTGGTTAGCAAAACGGTTTTCGGTTCGAAACCCTGGGGGAGCAGGGTCCTTTTCTGTACGGAGTTTGCATGCTCTCTGCCTGCGTACTCTGGCTTCCTCCCGCTTAATGTTCCCTAGGGGTGAATGTTAGTGTGAGTGTGTGTGGTTGTTTGTATCTATGCGGCCCTGCGATGGACTGGCGACTTGTCCAGAGAGCACCTGAATGTCCAGCCGCTGTGGACAATAAGCGGTAATGAATGGGTAGTTTGTCAAATGACAAATATAGAAGGGAAATACAGATTTTTTTTCAACAAATATGTATTTCTCACTCTAAATGGCTCAATAACTAGTATCGAAAGATAGAAAGAAAGCTTGAACGCTCAAGAATGGTGAAAAACTCCACAGCAATGAATATTCATCAAAAGGACCAATCAAGGTAGTATTCTCATTAAAGCTGAACTTTATTGATACCAAGAAATAATATTTGTGAAGTGACTAATAACTAATAACCATTTATATACAATAATATAAATCATGACATGTCTTTATTTAAAATAGTAATATTGAAATGTACCATCTTGTGCAACCTGTGCAAAAAATTATCTATCAATATGCCCTACAGTCATCAGATAACCTGCTGGCATAATAGCCATCAGGGGGTATAGAAGCCTCTGATATTTAGACAATCAAGTCTGCACAAAGTACACAGGGTTTCACCCCAAGTTCAGCGCTCTGAGACCTTATATTAGATCCTTTCCTCCTTGTCCCTTCCATCTCACGCTTTGTCCAGCACTGACAACTGCTGACTGCAACAGCAACTTTTCTTAACATCCGCAGCAGCGAGGCGATGCTAGTGCCTGGACAGACAAGTGGGCAGCTGCGCGCCCACCGCCTTGTCCTTGTAATAACCTGAGTAGAAATAAGCGGAAATTATTTGTTAAGACCCCAAGCATTTGGTGGAGGACCTGAGTACTTGTTTAACTTGTGTTTTTGCTAATACAGGTGACAAAGTTTACCATGTGAAATTGTTGCTTTCTATGAATGTGTTTGTGAGGTTTCTGGGCAGACAGAACTGCTCTACATGAGGCAGCATCCCATGGCAGGGCCTTACAGTTGAAGCAACTCATTGAAAATGGAGCATCTATTAACATTGTGACTGTGGACAACATAACTCCACTACATGATGCTTGCATACAGGGTCATCCAAACTGCGCCAGGCTGCTGCTGGAGGCCGGAGCCCAGGTAAGTCTATGTTCCAGAGGAGATGGCACTGCATGCACGGCTGTATAAAAGTATTGTAAAATGCTCAAGTTTAATTGCATTAGCTCACCAAGACAGGTGAAACATAAAAAAAAGAGAAAAAAAGTATAAAGAATTTGTGAAAATCCATCAAGGCTGGAACAAAATACAGTATGACTCGTGCAAGACATTAATTGTTGGTCTGTGTCTTTACAGGTAGATGTACGGACTATACATGGCAGCACTGCTCTTTGTAATGCTTGCGCTTCTGGTAGCCTAGAGTGTGCCAAGCTACTTTTACAGTATGGAGCCCAAGTGAACCCATCTCTCACAGCCCTTACTGCTTCACCTCTTCATGAGGCATGCATACAAGGTAAACTATCAGGGAACTAAGAATGATAGGAATTGTGCTTATGCTTTTTCTTTGCAAGTGAGACTTTACATTCCTTTCAGGAAATGTGGAAGTTGTGAGGTTGATGATAGCCAGTGGCGCTAATCTTGAGGCATTCGACGTCCACTTTGGCCCCCCCCTTCACATAGCCTGCGTTAAAGGACATGTGGATTGTGTTAAGGAGCTGCTAAGAGCAGGTCAGTGAGGAATAAATAAGGTAGTGTGGGGGAATGGAAACAAGTGGAAAACAGAGATTTCTCACAACTTTTATGTTGTTTCCATAGAAACTTCACAAACAAGATGGGAATGGTAAAATCCATGCCATCAAAACATGGCAGCCACTTAAGGGCGCTCAGACCAATAAATAATAACACTTGTTACAATGAAGCTCTGAACATGACATACATTTTTCTTACAGTTTATCACACACAATGCTAGAAAAACATGTACTATGCAACAGTGTGCAGAACTACTTTTAAAGATGCTGGTGGATTATGTATAGCACAGTCATTCAAATATTTTAACTGTAAACAATTTTATACAAATATACCATGAAATAGAATATACCATGGAACCACCCTCCCAGATATTCTATTGGAATATAATAAAATTCCATGACTGAGTTCGGTAATCTAATAACTGATATTTAAGAAACAACTGTTACGTTCTAACAATGATGCTGTAAATATATTATTCTGGGAAAATAATCGATTGGAAACACTGGAGCACAGCAAAGAAAGTCTGGACAGCCTGAAGGACTATTTTGAAAATTGTTTTGAAAGGATCATCATGGGGAAAGTCAAACTTCCTATGCAGGTAAATTAATTCAATTCAATTTCAACTTTCAATTTCAAATCAATCAGCCACCACCTTCAAGTCGAGTACCAACGGCGATTCACTTGTCGTGATGTCTTCAACTGGCAAGGAATCTACTGAAAGGTGCAGAGGCCCCACTTCAGAGAAAGAAACTCAGGGAGTCTGTGAAATCCCCCACTTGGGATGAACCGAGTTTTGTGAGGAAAAATAAAAGAAACAATCATCACCCTCCAGGCTCGTAGTATGAGGCACAAACGGATGACGACCCTGGACTAATGGTAATGACTTATCCAAACTCAGCCTAAACTCCCAGGAGACAGTGAGGAATATCACCTTTCACCAAGTACAGGTCCCGATCCCCATCTGGGAAAGTTCATTGAAGGAGGCTTCTGTTATCTTAAAACACCAATTTCTGATGACATGGATCAATTCACAACCTCTGCACGACTCTGATAATGGCATGCTGATATTAATCAGGTGTTTTGACCCCATCACTGTCACTGATCACGCACAATTTTTTATCACACTAAAGACTAAAGGAGGTACACCAACTAGAAAATGAGATATTTAATACATCATTACTTAAAGACAATATTTTGAATAATTGTTTTGCAAGGGAACGGTTAATATATCTAGAAAATAATAACTTACCAGGAATATCACATCACTCTTACTGGGAGGCAGTTAAATCAGTAATATGAGGCAAAATTATTTATTTTTCATCAAATAAGAAAAACAAGGAAACTCAGGATTAAATCATGAAAGGCTATCTTCAGTGCTTCCCACGAAGAAGAGATAATGAAGGAATTGAGGAAATCCAAACTTGAATTAAATGGAATTATTGATAAACAAACACAGTTTATCATAAAAGTCTTTGCTTGAAGAACTTTGAGCATGGCAATTAATACTCAACAAATATATACAAACATAAGAAAACAATAATTACTTCAGTTAAGAACTCAGAAGGATATGTCAGTATTCTTATTAGCACTTGTACAACAGCCTGATGGCAGTTTTTCAAAACTACCACCAGGTAATTTTCACTTTCCTGTATAACTTTACACCTATCTGGAACAATCCTGTCATCCTTCAATAAAAGAAAATGCTTAACTTTACTCAATGTATGCACAAAAAAATTAAACATATAGAACATATATAAAGTCCAAAAGGGAAACTTCATTTAATTTGACAAGCTCATATCACAACATGGGTTTAGCAGCAAAACATTTGACAATGTTTGAACATCTTTAGTATGACTTCAAATTGAATGTCATTTGCAGCTTATATGATACAAATTTATCCACAAAATACATTATAGTGGGGACTTTTCGTCATTCATTGTTTGGCATAGTGTGGCCATTTTGCTGCCATAATTCTAAACAGTAAAAGGTAATAAAATAAAAAGTTTAAAAACATTTTATTCAGATTTTGTTCTTAGAATGAGTCCAAGGAAAATTATAATATCAATGTCACAAAATATAGGGAATCAATGTTTAATGGAATCCTTACCAGTATTTTTTTCTTCAATATTTATAAAGAAATCATGGCTTTAAACTGTTCTTGACTTGCAGGTGCAAGGGTGAATTCAGTGAAGTTCCATGACACTGCTTTGCACCATGCAGCTCGAGCGCAAATGGTGAACATGATCGATACACTGGTGGAATTTGGAGCCAACGTGTACGCTAGTGACAACCTTGGAAAAAAACCTGTGCACTACACAAGTCCTACATCTCCCTCTTATTTCTCCCTCTGCTTTTATGAAAGTAATTTACAGCATTGCTTCTCTTTTATTAACCAATTCTGATTTGATCTGCTTTTGAGACACTGTAAGTTAGTGAATGATGCCCCCTTGTTGTTGACAGGTAATCCACTGAGTCTACAGCAGCTTTGCAGGATTGCTTTGAGGATGATGCTGGGTACCAAGGCAACTGAGGTGATGCGTCAGCTCAGTATATCCCCCCGCATCCAGAGCTACCTTCAGTATTGTGATCATCCCACATCACTGTAAAGTGACTTGTGAATTATGCGAATTAAGATTTCAAATAATATATCATTTTTCCTTTATGTAATGTAATAGGAATTTCTGTATTGTTTTTTTTTAAACTATTGATAATGAATATGTGCATTATGAAAACGCGGATCATGCTGCCTCTCTCGCTCGATCGTGCCACTTCTCTCTGTTCAACATCAGGAATATCAGGCCATATCTAACCCAACATGTGACACAGCTCCTAGTACAGGCCTTAGTCATCTCCCGCTTCAACTACTGTAATGCCCTCCTAACAGGCATTCCAGCCTGTGGTGTGAGACCACCACAGATGATCCAGGATGCAGCCCGTTTGGTTTTCAACCAGCCAGAGAGCATGTCACAGCCCTGTTCACTGAACTCCATTGGCTTCCCTTAGCTGCTCGCAACAAATTCAAATCACTGATGCTGGTGTACAGAGTGTTTGATGGATCACCCATCTACCTCAACACCCTCTTAAAGCCCTATGTCACCGCTCACCCACTCTGTTACTCCAAGGAGCGCCAGCTAACTCAGGTCAATCTACTGTAGATTCTTGTCATCTGCTGTTCCATGCTGGTGGAACCACCTTACAACCACTATCAGTACATCAGATTATCTTTCCCCTTCAAGAAATCCTTGAAGACCCAGCTCTTCCAAGACTATATCTTGTCCTGTAAGCTCCAAATGTACTTATTTCCTAATAGCATATAGCACTCAATGTATGGTACATGTGTAATCTATGTCATAATTGAATGTGAAATCCTCTTTTTGTAAGTTGCTTTGGATAAAAGCGTCTGCTAAATGCATAGACATCTTGATTTTTATTGACTTATTGATTTAAAGAAAAAAGTACTTTTGGTCAACATAAAATGAGCTACCAGCTGTACAGCTGTAAAAACTACAAGTCCCCACATGCTTCACGATGTGCATCTGTGTCACATGACTTCTGCAGAGCTTAGACTGCAAGGAAGCGGCTGTTTACAAACAACGCCTCGCGTTGTTTTTTCGCCGACACCAACAATTCTGGGACAGGAGACGGGCAGAGGATGGAGATAGAAAATTTTCAGTCATATTGCTTTGGAGACATTGGTGAGTATTGCACGCAAAATAACACGACCAATGACTCGACTGCTTTTTCGTAACTTGACCCACTTTACGGCGGTAGGTACTGAAGTAGAGCGTGCACGATAGCTAAGCGTGATTGTAGTCAGCTGGTAACTATGTCTCTGCGGAAGGTTTAATCTATATGAATGATCACAACACGTTAAAGTTATGAGAGGATAGTTATTATTTTTACTGTTGGCATGGCATGTGAATTCTGCACACACGAATGAACAATTACAATACAGTATACTCATGTGCCAAAATACGTAATTTATGATGCGTTTGAATGATTTTGCCCATAACTGTGTAGCAATTGTGATCAGGATATTTTTTAAATAATACTTTAAAAAAATACAACTGGGAGTTTAAGTAAATCAGAATATTGTCATAGATTTACTTTGTTTTACATATCATTATTGTCGGTTTGAAAAGAAATAAGTGAGTGCAAGTGGCTCATTTCTGTTAAATGTTAGTAAAGTTTTTTTCCATTTAATAATGAGTAAATTTGCTATATCCCTGTAGTGAAGAACACAATTGTTGAGCAACGTACTGAGTCATATCAGTGCAAGTATTTAATTACAGTTTTTCAGTTTAAACAAATTAACAGTTTTTGGCAGCTATAATTAACTTTGTGTCAAATTTTGTAATATTTTTTGGTTGTTTTTTTTGTGTAATATTGTATGCTGCGTTTCAGGCAGTTGGGCAGAAAGAACTGAAGTACATAAGGCAGCATCCCTTGGTCAGACTTCACAGTTGCAAGACCTCATCCAGGGTGGGGCCTCAGTTAATGTGGTTGCTGTGGACTCCATCACACCCCTTCATGAAGCCTGCCTACGAGGACAGGCCCAGTGTGTGCAGCTGCTGCTGGAAGCTGGAGCCCAGGTGACACACAGATTCATGCCTACAAAATTTTCTTTTTTTTCCAAAATTGTTCTCAAAATCCAAATATTTACGCTCTAAACAATTAGAAAACAAGATTACGAACATGTAGTCTTTAAATTGTTTCACCTGTTAAATGTATGTATATAATAGTCATAAATCAACGTGTTTGATTACTCCTGAGTCGTTATCGAATAAGTCATGGTTAATGTTCAAGAGAAACAGCAGTAATGGAGCCAAGTATTTCATCCTGGATCCTGTGATGCATCCTAGGTAGATGCGAGGAATGTGGACGGAAGCACCCCGCTGTGCGATGCCTGTTCAGCTGGTAGTTTAGAGTGTGTTAGGCTTTTGCTGGAGCACGGTGCTAAGGCCAACCCTGCCCTCACTTCCCGCACAGCTTCCCCTCTTCATGAGGCCTGCATGGGTGGTGAGTGTTTCACATGAACTACTGACAGTGCTTAACAAATGTATTAGACCACCAGCTCTAATGAATAAAGCTTTGGTACGTACCAAAATAATTATTTTATGTTTCTGAAATTGAGAGACTACACCAAGTAGGAGGTCTTAAGTGAAAGGATATTTTAAAAACTATAATGGTTTTAGGTTTAAATTTAAAATATGATGTTTTACTAAAAAGAGGAGAAAATACTAATGAACGTAATTATTTCTTGTTTACGATTTTAAGATCAAGGTTTTCAGCCTGGGCATGCTTGGATTGGCTCAGGCAAACCGGTGTGCAGTAGAGCAGATCCCAAGAAGAAGAGAGATCTTGTTGTGGAGCACGTTCTTAGGCAGGAATCGATTTTAAGGGGTACAAAGACAGTGTTTCAGGCTAAGCATGGACAGTGGTTTAACTGGGAAGGTGAAGAGAAGAAAAAGCTTAGTTGGAAAATTTGATTTTTGATAGGGGCAACATATGATGTATTGCCAACTCTGAAGCTTAGCAGTAGGTATTGAAGATAAGTGAAGGGGCCATCAGTTTGTGCCAGCTTGACATTTAACTAATTGATTACTAATATTTCCAATTTTAACATGTTTTTTAACCATTCTATAAAAAAATAGGTGTTTTTGTTGTCCTAACAGGTGGTCTAGTACATTTGAGTGGCACTGTTTTTCCCTCATATTAGTTGGGGAAAAAAATCAAACAAACTAAATGTATTTATTGTCTTTTTAAAATAAATCTTATTTAACTTTAGGTAACTCAGACTGTGTGAAGCTTCTGATTACCATGGGTGCTGGTCTCGAGGCGTATGACCTTTACTATGGGACCCCTCTGCATGTGGCTTGTGTAAACGAGCATACGGACTGTGTTAAAGTTCTTCTCAATGCAGGTGGGTTGCCGGAAACACCAAACTTTTAGAACAAGGCACTATATTGAATTCATAATAAATGTTGATTACAAAAGGGGTGTAGGAGGGCAAATTAGATACTTTGTGACTTGCATTTTTGCAAGAAATTAAAGTAATTTTGTTCACACATATAATGGTATGATGGCTTTGATGAAGAAGGGAATACATATAACTGGGAATTAAACAATATTAATTTGATAGATAAATAGATAATAGCATTCATTGAAACATCAAGTCTTTAGTTGTCACTAACTTCTGACAAAAATTTTATTTTTTTTGTTACAGGTGCTAGGGTGAATGCTTCAAGGCTACACGAGACTCCACTTCACCACGCTGCTAAAACCATGCGAGTGGAGATGATTGAGATACTCGTGGAGTTTGGGGCCAACATCTATGCAAGAGATCAGCACAACAGGAAACCTTTGGACTACACTACTCCGGGTTCTCCCTCTGCAGATTGTTTGCAGTTTTATGAGGGTATGTTTAAAAGAAAATAAGGACTGTAAATGGAAAACAAAGTTTGGGTATTAGACAGCCTGAATAGCTCCTTGCGTAAAGTAATGTCACTTTAACGCCAGCAGATGGCAAGGTTTCTCCATTTCAAAGAAGTCCCAGGATACACAAGGCTGAGTAAAATGAGCATTGTCAGTGTAAGTGCAGAATACTAAAAGGTGATCACTGCTGACTTCCAAAACTTCATATAAATGGTCTCATCTTGAAACAAGTAATGTGTGATTCTTATTCATATTACTACATATCATATTACTACATACCATAAGATTGTTATATATTTAGTTAGTGATGTCATTTTAAATGCTGATGAATTTAATTTATAAGTCATTTTGTTCCTTTCTATTTTATATGTTGTAATAATGATGTTTTCTAAAGTTGACCTTTTTAAACATAGATAAATTATGTAATTATTTATACATGTTGTAAAGTATCATTGCCCACTTTTTTCTCTTTCTTCACTTTTTCTCTGCCTGTAGCCACTCCTATGAGTCTCCAGCAGCTCAGCAGATTGGCTGTGAGGAAGAAGCTTGGAACCACAGCACTAACAGTCTTAGCTCAACTTGATATGCCAAAACTTATCATTAATTACCTTTGCTATCAGTGAGTGGCACAACCTACAAGAAGAGCAGGGTTAGTTTAAAAAAAAAACAATGACTGTGAACTCAAAGTGGCCAAACAATTGCAGCAAAACCGGTCTTGCTGCCAACACCTGTTGACAAACCTTAAAGTGTACAGCACAATGGTATTGCATGTTTTTAAAACTGACCTGAAAGTGCAGCGTTAGACTGGAGGCTGTTTGGAGGCGGTTGAAGTATTTTTCTGACGTCAGATTAAAAAAGAAAATGGAAAGAAGCTCAACATCACCCATGTGTAGCACTGGGATCCTTTTTTGTCTTAAGAATTAACTTAATTCTGATATTTATAAATTCTTATTGTGCGTTTTAATAGCACTTTGAATATCCTGACTGGAGAAAGCAGGAAAATATAGGTACTCCCAGTTGTAGTACCATTAGAAATAAATGTTTTTTTGCACAAAGTTTGTGCGAAAATGTTCCACATTATTGTAATTTGGCAGCTTGGAAAAACCAATAACACAAGAGGTTGTATCTCCTATCCTGGTGTCAAAGCCGAGATTCAGACATAACATCTGAACTGATTTGTACAGTATAATTAAAGGCATATTTGGAGTTGTATATAGCCCTAAACTCCTTTAACAGCATTACTTCATTAGCTTTTTTGGCCATTAATGGTTTACCGAAATGGCCAAACATTACCTCTTAGACTTAATTTTTATTGTGAAGTTTCTTACTCGCATTGGAATTGGCAACAATTACATCTAATAATTGCATATTAAAAGTGTTGTCTTAACATTTAACAAAAAACAAATCATTTATCAGATACCACTTGAGAAAGGAATATTCTAGAAATAAAAAAGAACTTTGGATACAAAGTCATTTTAACAGAACACAGCACAGTGCTCACAGAAGAGAGGAGCAGAAGTGATATAGTCTTTAAGAGATGAGTTCAATTCAGCGGTCAAATTTTCTTAAGTAAATGCTACCAGATCAAATATTGCTGGGCAAATACATAATAGCTGTGACTGTAATTGCTTTGCAGAAGTAAGAGGAAACAGATCGATCCTCGCTTTTTCTCTTGCATTTTACACATATTCTAAATGATAGAAAGGCTATAATCTATGGGAGACATCAGTCCCTGCTGCCAATTCAAAGCTCAGTGCCTGTTGCTCCATCAGGTCTACTTATAGACACAGCCCAGGGAGCTCAGTGGGGTCCCGATATTTTTAGCCAAGGCTTGCAGGTTTGTTTATGAATTCCTCTGTGCTTCAGGTTGCTTCAGTGTTTTACGCATAGTTGACATGGCCTATTTTCCATTTTCTAGTTCCATACCTTTGTTTTTTTAATCTTCTTTCTTAAAGGTCAACATACAGTGACATAGATATGTTGCATTGAATCAGACTGCTTTAGTATGAGATACTGAGATAGAAGTATTCACATCTGTCTGGATCATGGTGCCAGAGTGAGCACAGAGTGCTCTGAAATTTGGCTGCAAGTCATTCAAAGCTGGGCCTATAAATGGTATGGAAGTTCAGATTTCATGGATCATTCTTTGACTCTTATACTCACAGGTTTTCAAAAATACAAATGGGAAATCAGTTTGAAAGTTCTGCAAAATCCACTGAAGGGCCTGACAAAACATAGATCAAGGAATATATGAATGTCAAGTTATCTAATATGAGAAATGTTCCCTGTTTCATTACCTTTAACCAAAGTTTGAAAATGTGGTTAGTTCAAAATCAATTAATTTACTGTCCAAAAGTATTGCTGTGAATATGATGTATGTCTTGATGATTTATTGAATTATACAGCTGACCTGTTTTTAATGTTTTTGCATCAATATCTATTTCATACAATAAAACCTAAGCTGAGCCATTTGTGATATTCTCCTCAGGGTTCTTTATTTCAGTCTACAGTAAATCTAGAAGCAAAAACCAAGAGCAGTACTTGATTGATGAACATTCTGCCATTGTGTGTTAGTGTATAAAAAGTGTATACGCTATTTTTAAATTATATATACAATGGCATGGTGCATCAGTTTGACAAATACAATTCATTTAGACTTTGAAATGAAATGCAGTAATAGTATGTTATAGTATGTTTATTTTTTAGTTTAGCAGTAATAGCTGTTACTTATTGCTGATTTAAAATTCCATATGAGAAAATTGGGATTTTTTTTGTGTTATGAAGTATTAAGGGTGACAACATTGAATATAAAATGAATAATAAAATCTGCCCTTTTAAATTATTCATTCAAACACTGAAATGTCCCTTTAAAGATAAGCTTTATAAATATCCTAAAAATATTTCACTGTATTTATTTAATTTCTCCACTACCAGTGCTGTTTTCATGAAATCATTTAAACTGTCAAACCCCGCCTTCAAACTCATTGTGTGGTTTGTCCACAGATCCTGATGTTTGATTGGCTGCTCCATACTGCAAGTTATGACAAATTGACAACATATAATGGGCTGAAAACAGCCAGAATACATATACAGTTTGAATTGTTATTGTCTTTACTTGGATTTGGAAATGACTGCAAAGAAACAACCTAAAATGTGTACTATTGTTTTCTTTATTTGACACAAAGTTATTTGTTTAAAAGAAAGTTGTTGTTTTTTGTGAGTCATACTCCACATTCCTTACCATTGGGTGGATTTGATGCATCATTAGTTGTTTTCCTACCTCCAACAAATAAAAACAATACAAATATCAATCTTTTCAACTCAGAGATAAGGAAAATGGCTTAAAGTTGTCAAGAGCTATTACAAAAGGGAACACATTTAAATGAGGAAGCTCTGAAAGAAGACTTCTTCACACACAATTTACACCATGACCAGTGTAATGCAGAGAAAGTCATGGTGTACACTGTACTGTAGCCTACTGAGTAGAAACAGTTAATAGAAAATGTCTCCAACCGTGTTTTTGGCTTAGGGTACTACGAAAGTGGCAGCCCTTACTTTAAAACATTTGTTATACAATAATATAGGTAATAATAGTTTCTCTAAACTTTAAAATGGTTGGATTATTATAAGTCTACATGTACCCTATTATGTATCTAGCCTTCATAAAAAATAAGAAAAAAAATAAACAAATGAAACACCATTGTCAACTACATATTATTAATCGCTTTATTGGATAAATGTAACTATCCACACCTGAAAAGACTTTTCACAATACTTCTCTTTTGCCAACAGAACTCACCCAGAACTGTTTATTCACGATTAAGAACAAAAGTCCTCCTGTGATGAACCCTCAAGTCCATATCCCTCTGATTAATTAATTTCAGATTTTTTATCAGTGCAAAACACGAGAGAGAAGGCAGAATCATAGATAACCTTTGCCCTGCACACTCCTTCAAATGTGGATGCACTCGGCTCAACACAGGTTCAGATGTTTCATGTTGTGTGGTGCAGAACTGTTCTTCTTGTAAATTTGTAATCACTCTAGGGTCTATGTCTTGGTTTGAGAGGGTAGAAATTGCAAACCGTGGTTGAGCAGCTCCAGCCTGTATGTCCCTTGATTTGTCTAAAATGTCTCTTATCAACTCAGCACAGAGCTGAACTAAAAAATAGGTTAATTATTTAGTGGTAAATAAGCCTCTGTATTCAGTACCCTCCTTCAGGTAATTACTCAACAAGAAGAGTTTGGTCATGAGAATTAATGCCCCATGAGGAGTTACATTTCAGATAAACGTGTATTTTGTCAGTGTCTGTCGAGCCAGGAAGAAAAACAACTGTTCTTTCAGATTCTTGACAGATAAAAGAGTGACTCATCACTCAACAATAAAAGGCCGGTAGACAGGGTGTGACGACAGCAAACACCTGACAGCAGAAGGATGTCTCTTAGCAACAATAATAAAAACTGAAAACAACTTGACATAAGCAACAACTCTCTTGAGAGAGAACAGTCAAAGAATGATGTGACTGTACTGTTTAGCCTTAATTCACAATGGTACTTTCAATGTACAATTTAGACGTTCTCTGGATGTACTTGTATAAAAAGAACTGCCAAATCAAATCCATTCATCAACTCAGCACCTCCTTTCTAGTTTCATATTTGATGTTTTAGACATAGCTGATATAAATTGTTAACTACAAAAAACTGATTTGGACTCCATTCATCAAAAGTATGCCCAAACATTTGACGACTGTATACAGTAGCTCCCTATTTATATTTATACTATCAATCAGTCTATCAATAGATTTGACCAAAATCCAATGAGACAATTGGATAGACGTAGATTTATATTTTTTAACTTATATTTACTTAATGATTATTTAATGTATAAATAGTCTATTGATCCGATAGATAGCTATATTGGTTGATGGATATGCAAATATGCTACTTGGACTGTGTAAGAATATGTAATTTTTTTTTTTTTTTAAATACAATTTTTTGGCATTTACTGCTTATGAATGGGATATTATATATCTATATTTTATTTTTTTTAAATTATTCATTAGTTCCTAAATAGCTTTTTGGCAATGAAGTGAAATACCCTTTGTTCAATCTCCAGTTTTCATAAGTATGCATCTGTGTCTGAGTGTGGATAAAGAAAAGGCATTACATAATCTGTAAGACTGTATATACTAGAGTAAGTAGTGTTATGAGTGAACGTGACTTGTCCTGTGAAAGGGATTTAGCTGATCAACAATACTAGAAAAAAGCAATATACAAGCAGTTCATCGGTACAAATATTTGTATACTCCAGCAAATTTCTCCTGATATGAAATATGTTGCTCCATAAAGGAAACATGCAAATATAATGTTGTACATCTTAAAAAGATAAACTTTAGTTTTCCATAGGATTTCCATATTATTCCTATTTCTAACTTTATGATGCCATGTCCTAAACAGGAAATTAAATGAGAAATAAGGAAATTATTCCTTTAAACTTTTCAGTGAGGGTTATGAGAGACACTCTGACATCTCTTAGGAGAAACAAAGAAGTTTGAGTTTGAAGATAAATGCTAAGATCGCAACCCCGTGTCATAAATTCCAGAGCGAGGTCTCCGCCTCTGCTTTAGTTCTACATTTACAGTCAAGCAGACTTTTTTGGTCTGAGAGAGTGGTATTCAGATCTGGATCATGGTGCCATACACACTTTAGCACATGCACACACACATGCAGTGACTCTTTAAAGGCCATCTGGTTGCTGTTTCTGAAGGGAGTCCCCAGTCACAGAGTTGCCTGATCTCAAATGTAGTTGCTTAAGTGCAACTGAAGCGGAATTTCCTTACCAGACATTTTCCCCTGCAGTCTTTGCCTTTCAACTGACACATGTCCGTGCTGTGTGTTTCTTGGAAGTTCGTTATTGCTTTAAAATCAGTATTTACAATGGCTAACAAATAACCCATTCTATGTGTTTAAAAGACAGTAAGTTGACTACCTGAAAGAGCTGTCTTGGAGTGTGCTGGTGAAATGTACTGGTAAACACAGAGAAGGGAAACATACTCTTCATTAATACTCCCTTGCTTTTAATTTGTATTTTCAGTAGGACCTGTACAAACTCAAATCCATACAGATACCTACAGATGATCCCTTTGGTCTTCAGCAGATGTGCTTACCCTGAGAAAACAGCCAAACATCCTAAAACATTAAAAAACTCTTTAAAAACTTTACACTTAATGCTCCTTTTCCCTTTTGAATCAAGACCATATGAATGTGTCAGATAAACTAAACTAAATCTCCTCACTGACAGTTAAGCAATCTACCAAAGGCAATGAAAAAATAAAAAACAGCCTTCAAAACTTTTGTAAAAAGCTGTGCGTTTTCAGACATAATTGTTTCCTAAATTACTTTTATTTTTGAGGTAGTGTGTAATTAGCACCATTCCCTCCCAGCAATAAGGTTCTGGGTTCAACCAGGATCTTTCTGTATGGAGTTTGCATGTTCTCTCCGGGTACTCTGGCTTCCTCTTGCATGTTAGGTTGATTGGACATTCCATATCGCCTCTAGGAGTCAGTGTGTGTTGTTGTTCGTCTTTGTGTGTCTATATGTGTGGCCCTGCGATGGACTGGCGGACCGTCCAGATTTTACCCTGCCTCTCGCCCGTTGACCACTGGGATAGGCCCCAGTCCCCCCACAAACCCATTTGTGAAGAAGCGATTCAGAAAATGGATGGATGGATGTGTAATCCAAGACAAGGAATGAACATTTGCAATTTCCTTAAACACGACAGACTAAACTTTTTAATGTTGAGAGCATATCTTTGATAGTAGAGCTACTTTTTCAGCTCATGTTCAAATGTAAAATAAATCTTAGTGCAATGACATTCAGTCCTTTAGATTCATGGATCTCTCTTGGGGGTTGCAGTAAGGGATGAATTACCACGAAATAACTGTGTAAACACCCCCTTGGTAATTTGGTTATGATGCTAAGAAAACTCATCTAATTTCACTCATAATTTGAACAAGGTTCATGAACTAATCTATTTGCATTTATCTTTTTTTATCTTATAAATACAAACCATCAAAAGGACTACATTCCTCGGGATGTTTAGTTTAGTGTTTCTCCCAGCCTGTATCTGAAAAACCTCCTGAGTATATACGTAAAACTTTCTAATTTAATTTACAATTGAAAACATTCATACAGCACGGTCAACATTTCTAAGTAGAGTCCATTCATGTATTCAGTCATTTAAAACATTAGATGCAGCTTCTGCCAATGCGATTATGTACTGTTTGTCTGCACAAGTTAATGAGGATACATTCAACAGTGCAAAATAACAGCACAGTATGTTCTTAGGATGTGTTATGTTGTCAGACTGCATTTGACCTGACAGCTATTAATTTGTACCTTCGCAATATGACGCCGTCAAACAGGGAATGTAGTAAGGGTGGAGTATTCTGTCACACCTCTTTCAGCTGCAGAGAAGAACTGCCACCCTAAGTTTCCCATTGTTGGGAAACTTAGGGTGGAGAGGGTGTGTGTTTTGGTTATAGATACCTCTGCTGGCACACATGCCAATTGAATTGAGTAAAGGTGCTATGCTTTGTGTATGAGTGCCAAACACCAAGTGTGTGGCCCCATTCTTATATAATAGCTGATTAAAAAGA